TAATAATTAATGAATAGCATTTGTATAGCGCATAACCCCGCTCAACAGCAAGCTCTATGTACTTTACACTATTATTATTATTAGCCCCAGCAGACCATAGAACACCCAGAAACATCCTCAGCCTCTCGGCAAGCATACATTGCAAGCAGCTGATTAAGCGCTCAAACGCTAACAAACTGACAAGATCTTTCACAGTCTATAGCTGGGTACCCATTCCTATCTGGGTGAAATGAGGAACATTTGTGTAAAGTGACTTTCCCAAGGACACAACGTTGGGTCTCTGACGGCTTTCGAACCCACGAACTTACGGTTGGGAGTTTGAGAGCCTTACCACTAGGCAACCGACGCCACAGCTGCGACCGCTAACCAGAGACTTCTTAACTCTATTGGTAGCACATCAACACTAGATTTGACTTTCCAAGTGATTATGAGATGTCAAGGGCTGCTTGCTCTGTCGAATCATTGTAGGCTACTAAATATATTATACATATTATGTAAGTATCATTCAATTAAAAACGCCACACCCAGTACCATCTTTGTTTTAGTAAGGTTTTTACGGCGCTCGCAACTGCATGAGGTCATATGAGCGCTAAGGGGGTGGATGTCAAAAGAGAAGTCCAAATAGGGAATCAGGCTTACTCTGCTCACCTCCCTATCCTCAACAGCACAAAATCTGCTTCGAATATCATCCCGGAAATAGCAGTTCGCAAGAGAGTGACAAACATCCAAAAGAAGTAGAGGGAAAATGACGGAAGTAGTAAGGATGAGAAAAGAAAAAGCAGCGGTTCCCCCTATATTGTTCTGAAACAGTATGAGCATGACATTGATATGTCAGTCCATTTATAATTCTACATGTAGGGCCTACTGTGCTTAAGAACATATCCCCCCTTTGGGAATGGCCTAAAGACACTTCAGTCAGTAGCATTGCCCTGGTTGGGGAACACTAGATTTGAATTTTCCAGTGACTATGAGATGTCAAGGGCTGCTTGCTCTATGTTATAAGTAAGTATAATTTAATTGAAAATGCCACACCAGTACCATCTTAGATGGTTGAAATTATAATGGTCAAGGCCTATACATAGATTAGTATTGATAATATTAACAATGTAGGATATTATTATTAAGAGTTAGCCACACGTTTATGGCTTGCCTGTACGCCTGACCTTGCATTTCCGGTCCAAGAAGACGTGACGTTTCACCCCGGATCAAACTGACGGGGAGCGACTGGCCGAACGACATGAACAAAGCTGGGGAAGACAGAGGGATGGACAGATCAATAACATGTTTTATCCTGAATGCGTGGGCCTGTCTGTCAGGTTTATTTAATTTTGTTGCCAATATTATCAGGAAAAGTGTGCCAAAGATGAAACTGTACGGACAAAGAAAGAAAAAAAAAAGACAAGATAGGAAATCCATAAGGCCTTTCTTATAATGGAGAGGAAAAAAGTTGGTCTTAAAAAAAAGAAGAAGCAAATCAGCTAGTACAAGGCGTCGGAAAAAATCCAAACAATTTCAACAAATCACTGAACAAATAACATTCAACGGAGGGGACGTCTCACGTATGTTCGTATAATGAAGATCGTATAATGAAGAAAATCAACAGATGTCTCTCCTTGGTTAAATTATATTTGTGAGGAGTTTTCTTAAAATTGATGCAAAGATTACTGAGTTACTGACTCTCAAATGGTTCTCTTTTTATCTAGATTCCAGTAGAAAAATCGTATTTATAAGATATTTAATTATCGCCAACTGCATAATGATACTTTGCAGGCAGTCGGCAGAGAAGGATTGTATAAATGATTTTAATTGGAGTGCCTAAAATGATACTAAAATCTGTAACCTGTGTTCACACTTGAGAGGCGAGGAAAAAAAGTGAAACGAATGGATCAGCCACTGCAGTTACTCTGACTTTTTATGAACCCTCGATTATAGTAAATACTCTGCAACGTATAATATGATCATCTCGAACTTATAATATTAAAAATAATATTATGTTCATTGGAGGTAACTTTGAGGAAGAGACAACGTTTTCGCTTTCCCATTTATAGAGGAACATGTAGGTTTGAGAGTGTTCTCTGGGACTGTTTAAAATTGTTTACTTATAAGTTAAAGTTATTTACAAATGGCAATTCTGCATTTGTTGTAATATATTAGTGTTTGTGCTCTTTGCACTACGCACACAACATACATGGGTATTATATCACTCGAGGAAGATAATAATGTCATTGATTAGGCCAATGCCCGTATTTCAGCTGGAATGCAGTGTAGGCCTACCTACCATTTCCCACATCATGGAATAGCTCTAGCTGGCATGGTCGAAGCAGATCGTGCTTTAAATTATCCGAATTGTGTCGCTAGTTTGTAAAAAAATATTTGCTGTAACACAAGGTCCCCCTAAAAAAGATCAAGAGGAAGACCAAGTGGAACTTGAAGAAGAGTCACAGAAATTCATGTACGGAAAAGTGGGAAGACATGGAATTACATCAAGAGGCTGGCCCAGGGTAGGGGAAGATGGAAAGTGTTTGTTCGCGCCCTATATCCTGATCTAGGGGGAAAAAGACAACAATGATAATAATGATGAAGGTCACAAATCTTTCCTGGTCTTACTGTGTGTTTGATGTCAGCGACTTTTGTCAACTACAGACGTCTTCTCTGCTCACCAGTCAATAACTGTGATAGTTTTGTCGCTTCCTTCGATCAGTTACTGTGATGATTTTTTTTCGCTTCCTTACTCACCAATCAATAACTGTGATGGTTTCGTAAATTTCCTACTCACCAATCAATAACTGTGATGGTTTTGCAGTTTCTTACTCACGAATCAATAACTGTGATGGTTTTGCAGCTTTCTTACTCACCAATCAATAACTGTGATGGTTTTGTAGCTTTCCTACTCACCAATCAATAACTGTGATGGTTTTGTCGACAGGGCGTACGTGAGATATTCTATCATATTCGTCGCGGCGCCCAGCATTCCGAGCCCAACTCCGGGCAGGTAGCGATATAAAAGAGGCACTGCAACAATGTTGGCAATGTTGTAAACGATGTCTCGACCAGACGTGTACCATCCGATAGTGATAGCGTCGAAGCAAAAAGGCGAGTTCATTAAGTACAGCATTCGGACCTGCGGGCAGGGACATAAAGACGCTTGGTTAACAAGACAGGGTTATCTGTCCACGTGGGGTCTTTAATTAAGGAAAGAACTTTGAGACCATTGCTTGCATTTCATAGAGGAACAGAATAAAATGGTTTGGCCACCTGTTACGAATGTCACCTAGCCAGCCAGCCCCGAGAGACTATTAGTATTACAACAAGCACTCAGGCTATAAAGGAAAGTCACGCAAAAGGAGAAAAAAGGGAGCCAAGGAAACCCTGAGAAATTATAATATCCCAATTGAAAATTGAAAGAGCTAAGGAGCTGGCCTACCAAAAGAATATGTACCCCCCCCCCACCCCCCCCGACGCTTAACGGCAACAGAGGATGAGAAAGTAAAAGTAAGTACCGTGAGACAGAATCATAAGTTATGAGTAACAAATTCATATTTAATTCATGGGTTACTACTCGAAAAATCATGCAACGTATTGGTATACGATACTCATGGGACGCTACACAGTGGCGACCAGCAATGGCATGTTTGTGAAATTGTTCTGTATTAGAGCGGTATTGTGTATTTTTGTATGTATCTATGTATGTATTTGCGTATGTATAAAATTTTTTAGAAGAAAGTTTTCCCCGACCCTGTCGGGTTTCGAACCCGGGACCTATTTAATGAGAGGCGAACACCGTAACCTCTAGACCACGAGAGGGTGTCTCATTTGCTCTGGACTATAACTAACGGACGCGTACTGTACACAATTGACTTACGAAATATCAATTTAAGAAGATTTGCACTTTACAGCAATAACCTAAACTACGCCATCCCCACCCCACCCCCCACCCGCGTTCATTTCAGTAATGTTATTTCTGTTCCTTGATATTTATCTCAACCTCCTTTTTTTCTATACACCCCACAGTCTATTCTTCTTCTTTTAGAACTTTATTTCAAATCAAGTCCTAAGGAAGGTGAATAGTGTGTCTCAACACTATGACAAACACGCCAAAACGAGAAAATGAGGCACATTGGACCCCCCAGACATACACAAACAAGAAAACACAATAGCAGGAACAAGAACAAAAAACAGAACACAACACACCCCCTTTTCAAAGGACACACACACAAAGAAACAAACAAACAAACAACCAAACAAACAAACAAAGAAGTCACCAAAACAAACTACAAGGAAAAGGGGATAGAAACTGTGGACCAAGACGCTCATTTAACTCGTAAACTTGTCACGAAGCTCAAAAACATAATACTCCTCATTTTCAAACTACAAACCGACAACCAACCAACCAACCAACCAACCAACCAACCAACCAACCAACCAACCAACCAACCAACCAACC